GGGGGATTAACCTGTTAACACGAATTTTTAAATGTCAAATGGCAAGCAAATGTGTTGCTTTTCTAAGGGGGAAATTGAATGGTCAGGTTTTTTAATATTTTTACATCTCTTTAGAAATCCAGGATAGGTCAATCTATTGAGACAGCACCTGGATTAATGGTTTCTTGGGGGTAACGCAGGGGTGGCTGGCGGGACATGGGGAGCTAATAATAGCAAGTACAAGGAAGGAGAAAATGTTCTAACATTGATTGTGGTCATGACTGTACAACTCTTCTTGATAGGATTGAACAATTGTATTGTATACGTGGATTATGTGCTCACCTGTTGGGGAAAAAATAAGCAACAAAATCAAAACCAGATAAATACACCAAAGTAACTAAAGTCATTTGCAATACACAAGCAACTTGAACACTGGGAAATTCAGAGGATGGTGGGCATGTCTCTAGAGCAGCAGTTCTAACCTGTGGATCGCTACTCCACTGGGTCTCCAGGCGGGTCCGCCCACATGCAGCTATGCTGATCTGGTGAGAAAGAAGCTATGTCAACCTTCGCACTGACCTTGGCTTTTAATGCATACCGTCGCAAAATGTAGCAATGTAGTTTACTGTTGTTATGTTGACTGTTACCCATGCTACACCATGCTTCAAGACAAAATTGCATTTATTTGTAATTAGAAATAAATATTTCACCATATATAACTACATATTGTTTTTGTGACTTACTATACTTTTAATTATGTTCAATTTGTAACAATGAAAAGACATGCTGTGGGGGTCTCGAGTCCGCGGGTGGGATGGAGACGGCCTTGGAGCAGCACCTGGAGGACACAATGAAGAATCCATCCATTGTTGGTGTCCTGTGCGCAGATTCCCAAGGACTGAACCCGGGCTGCCGCGGGACCCTGTCGGATGAGCATGCTGGAGTGATATCTGTATTAGCCCAGCAAGCAGCCAAACTCACCTCTGACCCCACTGAGATCCCTGTGGTGTGTCTAGAGTCAGATAACGGGAACATTATGATCCAGAAACACAACAGCATCACGATGGCAGTGCACAAAATGGCCTCTTGACAGATCGCTGCTCCACCCTGACATGATAACGACTTCTGTCTCCTACAACTATTAAATTCCAGCAGTTAGGCCATGGCATGTGCATTGGGCATTTTTCCTTCACGCTTCTGAACATTTCCTTGTGGTTTAGGTGAAAGCTGACAACGCAAGTTCTTTTACCATTGGACAATTTATACCACGTTTCATGACGTCAGTTGTGATCTATCAGTTGTCAGCACTCTCCCCACTCCCACCTCATTTCCTTCCCCAGCTTGCCTGCCCCTTCTGCCTTCGGCACGTTCCCCTTTGGTGTTACTTGCTGTTCACCCCGGCCTATAGGCCAGCCTATTGTTCAACTATGGGCAAGCCTGGCAGTGTAGAGGTTAAGCGTGGGGCTGATCACTGCAATGTCAGCAGTTCAAACCTACTAGCTGCTCCTTGGGAGTAAACTGAGGCTAGCTACTCCAATCGGGAATTATAGTTTCAGAAACTCACAGGGGCAGTTCTGCACTGTCCTACAGGGTCACCCTGAGTCGGTATCGACTGATGTTAGTGAATTTGGCTGTAAGGTGAACCTTCTCCAATAGTGAGCTCAGTTTTCAAATTGAAAAGGTGTTTTAAGGCCAGTCTCAGGATTCCACCAAGCCCTTATCAGACCCACAAGTCTGAATTTGGATTTTGTCCTACATTTTTCTCTCCTGTCTAGACCCTTCTGTAATCCAGGTCAGAGCTGCTAGAAGTAACAGGCTGCGTCCTGTTCTGGTTTCAGGAGAGTAGATGATGGGGTACAGTCCTTTGGACTAATAGTTTGCTTTTGTCTTTGACTTTCTTTAACTCTCTTTGCTCTTTAACCCTCTTTGGGAAGAGACCAATAGTTGGGTATTCGGCGGCTACTTGCAGGCTTTTAAGACTTTGGATGTTTTGCTGTTTATTTCAGAGTCAGCTGCTTGGGGCGCTCTATGGACTGACCGATCACAGTATTGGAGAGAAAGACTCATGTGTAGCAGCAGCATGTCCTGATGACTTTGGATGTAGAACTGTATTATATCCAATAAATCTGGTTGGAGAAAAAAAATACATGCTGCATATCAGAGATTTACATGACGATTCATAGCAGTAGCAAAATGACAGTAAGTACCAACGAAATAATTTTATGGTTGGGGGTCACCACCATATTAAAGGGTCATGGCGTTAGGAGGGTTGAGAACCACTGCTCTAGAATGAGGTGAGGGGGGTGAGCAGTGTGCCCCTCTCGCAGGACTTGGCGTTGGGTAATGTCTGAAAGAGCAGCCTAACTCCGTCCTAAAGCCTTGCAGCGAGCCTGGAATCCATGCTAGATTTTAAAAGCCACCGTTCCTTATTTTTTTTTTTTTACTATTTTTTGAGAATCATTTTATTAGGGGCTCTTACAGCTCTTATCACAATCTATACATACGTCCATTGTGTCAATCACATTTGTACATATGTTGCCATCAACATTTTCAAAACATTTTCTACTTGAGCCCTTCGTATCAGCTCATTTCCACCCCCTCTCCCTTCCTCTCATGAACCCTTGATAATTTATAAATTATTATTTTTTCATGTCTTACACCGACCGCTGTCTTCCTTCACCTACTTTTCTGTTGTTTGTCCCCCTGGGAGGGGTTTATATATCGATCATTGTGATTGGTTCCCCTTTTCTCCCCCCACCTTCCCCTTCCCCTCCTGGTATCGCTACTCTTATTATTGGTCCTGAGGGGTCGATCTGTCCTGGGTTCCCTGTGTTTCCAGCTTTTATCTGTACCAGTGTACATGCTCTGATCTAGCCAGATTTTAAGGTAGAATTAGGGTCATGGCAGTGGTGGGGAGGGGGAGGAAGCATTCAAGAACTAGAGGAAAGTTGTATGTTTCATCGGTGCTACACTGCACCGATTAGCTTGTCTCTTCCTTGTGATCCTTCTGTGAGGGGATGTTCCTGATAGCAGTTCCTCTAACTTGAATGCTGACCTCACTGTATACCCTGAAGGAGACATTCTTCCTCCTGCCAGACCTCACCTATTTCCAGGGGCTCTTTCCTCTATGGTCAAACAGATGCAAGCGTGATCGCGCCCACCAGAAGGACCCTGGTGCCCTACATACATCTTTACAGTGGCGCTCCGAAGACAGGATTGAGAAACCATTTTCTTACAGCAGCTACCTGAAACACCTGTCCCTTGGCCATCTGTAATAAAGAGCACATGTGCTGGCAATCAGGTACTTTAACCAATTACGCCACCCCACCTGCACAGAGGGCTTCAAAAAGCCTGTGGGAAGAATCCATGTTTTCATCCCATCTCCCTAGCCACTTTTTGAAGCCCCCCTCATGTACCTATTCTTGCTGAACTTCATTCTTACATAGCCTGTCTCCCCAGGTGGTCTGAATTTCAGTCCAATGTGGTTTTGTTGCTATTAGCTCCAGCTGTTTTCTTCATTGTCTGGTGCGCTGACCCCGGTAGCTTTGTGTTGGGCTGTACTGTAAGGTCAGTAGTTCAAATCCACCAGGCACTCCGCAGAAGAAAGCTGGGCGCTTTGCACTCCGGCAACCAGTTGCAGTCTTGGACACTCACAGGGGCACCCTGTCCTCTAGGGCCGCTACGGGTCGGCGGCACCGACTCCGGTGGCAGTGGGGTAGGTTTTATTGATTACGATGACAGTGGGGTTGGTCTTAGTATTGATTACGATGACATTGCTCTGGGCACCCTTTTTTTGGTCGTTGTTCAAATAACTCCACAGCAAATGGTGAGTGCTGCCTTTAGCAAGAGTCCCACAGTCTGGTTAAAATGCCGATTCTGATTCTGCAGGTCTGACTGGAGCTTGAGGCAGGAACCCTTCCCAGGGCTACATTTTGAGTAGCGGGGTTTAGGATGGCCTCTCTCATGCAGACAACTGAATCCCAAAGAGCAAAAAAGGGAGGGGGGTTGAGGTTCGGGGGCGGGGCAGCACCGTTTGTAGCAGTGAAGGGATCCACGTTCAAGGAAGCCGCCCTACACTCTTTGCTCCCAGGAGGCCTGGGAGCACGCCATGATCTCCTTTACACAGTGCAGACACGGAGTGTAAACCTGAGCCGAGGCCACGTGCACCCCACAGCACCCTTCAGGAAAGCCAGGAGCGGAGACAGAAGTTGGTTCCATTTGGCTCCTGCCACACAGAATCCAAGTTGCCCACACTGTCCAAGGCGGGCCTGTTTAAAGTGTCTATTCGTAGCTTTTATAATGTGTGCACGGATACAGGCTAACCAGGTGCCTGGGCTGAAAAAGGAAAAGGAAAAAAGCCACATAGCCCACCCTCCTTTCCTGAAAAACAAAAAACCAAGAACAGCCCATTTCAAAAGATTTTCTTTAATATCATAAAATATCTTCATGGACGAGTGAGCTAGCAAACACATGCACCAATGTGCCTTTTGACAAGATCATCCCCCGGCCCCACCCTCGCTCCCACCCCCCACACTAAGGTGGACATGAGATAGGAGAAATGAATACAGCAGATGAAACAGAGAAATTAAAAAAAAAAAGTCAAGAAGGATGGACTCTAAGATTGTGCTTAGTTATCTTCCTATGTCACAACACAACAGAACAGGTCGGTGCAAATAGTTAATTTTTCCTCTTTTCCATTTAAGACTGGTGGAGAAAAAAATACTTTTTCTATAATAAAATATGTGGTTTTTAAACTTTTTTTTAAACGTAACATTTTTTTTTCTTTTTTGCAGAAAATAATCTTGTAAACTGTCACTTCGCGGAGGGCAGGAAGGCTTGATGCCACGTGGGTCCCGCTCACCCTGATCAGGGCCGAGAGTGGGAACCGAACCCGGGCAGGCGGGG